TTGTAAAGGCCAGCTGCGACCAACAGCATTAGAGTAGTCCGAAAAAAAAGATCAGAATAGATCTTACAATAACAAAAACAATTGTTTAAGTCTAATGCACTGTAAATAAATCTATATCACATGTCTTCTAATTTATTTTATAAATATTTGTTATAATGTTGTATCTAGTCTCAAGTTAAGCTAGCCAAAGCTTCTGTTATGGGTACTAGATAACTGATACAAATATAATAATAATAATCTCAGGACAATTCACACAGCGCCGTCTAGTCCCAAGTTAAGCTAGCTGAAGCTTGTGTTATGGGTACTAGATAACTGATACAAATACGTAGATTTTTTTTGTAAATACATACATAGAAAACACCCAGACCGATACAAACAATCATACTCATGAATACAAATGTTTGTGCCGTGCGAGGAATCGAACCCGCGACCATCGGAGGTAAAGCGGTGTGCTAGACCGCTATACCACCGATGTCGTCAAATCTTATATATAAAATTCTCGTGTCAGAGTTTTCGTTCCCATACTCCTCCGAAACGGCTTGACCGATTCTCATTAAATTTTGTGAGCGTATTGAGTAGGTCTGAGAATCGGCCAACATCTATTTTTCATCCCCTAAATGTTAGGGGTAGTCCACCCCTATTTTTTTTTTTATTTTAGGGCAAAATAACGTTTTCTGGGACAGCTAGCAGATATGTAGATATACTAGCTGTCTCGGCAAACGTTGTTTTGCTGCATTTGTACTAATATCGCTATTAAAAAATAGGGGTTGATGCTAGAAGCTAAATAATTATAAAAAGAAAATAAAATATGTCGAAAAAATAAAAAAATATAAATTTAGGGGTGGATATCCCATCACTTAGAGGTATGAAAAATAGATAGTAGCAGATTCTCAGACCTACTGAATATGCATATAAAATTCCATAAAAATCGGTCAATTTGTTATGGAGGAGTATGGTCACTAACAATGTGACACGAGAATTTTATACATAAGTGCCGGTGTTTAATTTAGTTACCACACATACATATTATACATAGAAAATGCCCAGATCGATACAAAAGATCACACTCATGAATACAAATGTTAGGGCCGTGCGTGGAATTGAACCTGCGACCATCGGAAGTAAGGCGGTGCGCGGTGTGCTAAACCGCTAGATCACTGAGGCCGTCGATCATATCCGAGGACAGTTACTCTAAAAAGGACGAAATAGATATTTACGAATAAATAATTATTTGTTGAAAAAACATCAAAATAGTGACACTTTTTAACAGACTATTCTTCTCAGTTCCAGTTAGCAATCTGAGTGCAGACTCGTATTCACTACCAGATCCAGAGATGCCAATCGGACAGGAATCCTCGAATTCAGACCTAAGATCTCAGGTCATGCAGGAAACACAGATGGGTATAGTATGTTATGTTATTCTTTTACATCCATCTACATTACGATATGTCGAATCTACCATCACTTCGGAGTTCTTTCGAGCAAAGAACATTCAAGAAACTCAGCTCTTATTCTTAGTGATTCCCAAAGTGGTCTATATGGACCCCAGGGGCAAAGACGGCAAGGGATTACGACAGCGGTCATCTTGTTTTTACTTTATGTTTTTAACACTAAACTTTACTCTACAAAAAATCAATACCAGGTAAGAATGGGGGTCCAAAACCGAAAAATATGGCAAGGAGTCTACGACACAAAAAAGGTTAGGAACCTCAGGTCTAGAATATAAAAATTTCATCGTTCTAGCTTCTATACAATCTTTTATCTCCCGTTTCAACCCCTTACAACCCTTTTTCCCGATTAGAAACAAGGCTGTATTATATGTCCTTTCTCAGAGTTTAGACTATTTGTGTACCAAATTTCATTTAAATCAGTTTTGGTTCAGTAGTTTTTACGTGAAAACGCGACAGACAGGTACAGTTACCATGTGGTGTGCCTCGTTGCCTAAAACTGGGACATCTCAAATTAATAACCAAACGAGAAGCACTGAATCACTGGCAAGAAATGCCAGGATTCATACATTCAAAAGACCTTATATCGGGCTTCTCGACCAAATACTCCAATAGATTACTGCAATTGAGTAAAAACAACATATGCATGATGACTAGGGCCCTCACAGGACACTGCAAATTGAACAAGCATATGGCTAAGCTAGGCCTAGGCACGACAAGTATCTGCAGATTCTGCCAAACTGAAGAGGAAACGCCGCTTCACATCCTATGTGGTTGTAGCCCACTCATGCATAAACGAAATATCTCCTTTGGAAAGTTTACACTCTTTCCCGAGGAGATAAAAACGGTCGCTCCTAAGAATATCCTTCAATTCTTGTCCCTGACGGGTCTAGGTAGCGAACTCTGAAAAGGGCGAGCACAATAGATCTATGTAGGTCGCAGTGCTACAGGTGCTACACATCTGACAATAGCCCAAACAACCCAATAAAAAAAAAAACAGTTACCATCGTATTTATAATATTAAAATAAGGATTCTGCGTTTTCAGTAATGGCGAGAGCCACAGTCTTCAATCAGCCAACAAATCTGATGCCACTCGAGATATCTTCTGCACCCATAACTGCAGAGCCTCCTCACTCCTTACCAGAAGAACCACCTGATACTCCAAATAACTCTATTAAATGTTGTATTATACTGTAATTTTTTTTATTATTGTGACTATGAATTACATAAGGTATTATAACAACCCCTGTGATCTAGTGGTTGAAAGCAGCGGTAAGTTAGCGGGTTCGATTCTAGCATTATACAAATACATGTATTCATGAGTATAATTGTAATATGATGAGTACGTATTCTGTATGACTGATTGATCTGGGTGTTTTCTATATATTTAACCTTTGCTTCGTGATTAGATGGCGCTGCAAATTGACTTGAGTAATGTAAAACGTTTCGGAAACTATCATCCCAAAGGTTCTTCAACCGAACCAAAGGCCATTGTGAAGACTGACCTAACTGACCTTGAAATCTGACTCTGGGTCACCTCTCTGTACAGCCGCTCCGAGCCGCCAGCAGTAGTTGCTTGGAGTTCCGATCATGGAGCTCGACCTAATTGTCTACAACACCAGATAAAGAAACGCGAGTAGTCCGATTAATATACGGAAAAAAATAGATTAATACCGAAAAAGAATCGATAATTGATTAGCAATCTCTATATAAAGCTATGTCCAGACTTCGTTTATTAAAGATTATTTAAAAGAGCAACACACAAGTTTCATGCTCGTTCTTCCTGTGATGAGACAGCTTTCCGATAGAGCGGTAGATTAATTTTTTTTTATGATTATCATTCATTCAAAGTGCTTAAATTAAGTTTATTTGTGTAATGGATTTTCTATTGCATTCTATTGTATTCTTATAATTATTTAATTATAGAAATTCATTGTTTGATTATAAAAGTGTAGCATTATTTTCAATATATAAAATGCATTTTACTTTTGTCTGTTACTGTATTTGTAGACAGATAAATAGATATTATTTTATTCATTACATTCTGTACCTCAAAGATGCTATGTGATTGGTGATTGGAGATAAAAAAACTGTCTATCTATCTGCGTGTGTACTTGTTACTTTATTTGAGACGAATTTCGTAGTTATGGACGAACTATAGGTTCATGTCTGTTGTTGACGGCCTTGGTGGTCTAGCGGTTTAGCACACCGATTAATTTTCAATGGGGTTCGATTCCTCGCACGGTGAAAACATTTGTATTCATGAGTATGATGTTTGTATTGATCTGGGGATTTTTTTATATATATTATGTATGTATTCACAAAAATTAAAGATCTATATCAGTTGTCTAGTACCCATAACACTAGCTCTGCTTACCGTGGGACTAGATGGCGCTGTGTTAATTGTCCAGAGTTATATATTTATTTATGTTTGTACATGTGAAAATAAATCCTATGAACTTGATATCTTTCTACAGTGTGAATATAGCTTTACTATAACGTTATATCACTTTAAGTGAACGATACGATATCATAATAAATTAAGTTAAACTTTGAATTTGTACACATTCACTGCGTTCTATGCAATTGTGGTTGATATATGAAATATATGGTAATAAAGAAATATGGACAGAAAGAAAACGGTTCCAGGAACAGGAATGGTAATGGCATGGCATGGTAAGCTGAAATTCTTCTTATTCGATACGCTGTTATCAGAACGGTCGTGGTCATTATGTAGTAGAGTGAGAGGCGAATGTCATCCGCCGTAGAACAGCTACCTCTCCCTACTAGTTGCCATTCTGGTAAACTCGTGGAGTGGATCGCCTACTGCTGCTTTGACTTGGTCGGCGCATCGCATGGGTGATCGTCCACGAGGTCTAGCACCGTCAACCCTACCCTGTATGACAAGGCGCTCTATTAATGAGTTGTTTCTACACGTGACCAAAGAAGTTAAGGATGCGCAATTGTGTTAATGTAGATAGACGCTGCTTGATGCCGAGTCATACGCGTCTTGACATCCTATATGCAGCCCCCTTCATTTGAAACCAATGACCAGGTAGATGTAGGATGAGACCACTTCGCAATTCGCCAATTGAGTAATTTCAGGTGAATTGCTATTAGGGCGATACAATCATAATCTTGAATAAGTTGCAATATTATTCGCCCCGGCTTCGTCCGGGTGTACATACATACATATAAACATTCCTCTTGATACACTATATCTAAAAAAAAAACTGCGTCAAAATCCGTTCCGTAGTTTTAAAGATTTAAGCATACATAGGGACGGAAAGACAGCGACAGCGACTTTGTTTTATACTATGTAAAGATAATAATAGTGATATTTTCTGTTTTGCGGAATCATTCTGTAAGGCGTTAGCAAATTGAATATGAAAACGGAAATAGTAATTATTCAATGAACTATAAATGCAGGATACGCAATAATAATACAATATTTATTGTGTTACTACCGTATTTATTATATTAAGGCAAGGATTTTGTGTTTTCAGTGACGGCGAAAGCCAATCAACCAACAAGTCTGACATCCTCTGCACCCATAACTGCAGAGCCTCCTCCTACCTTACCAGCAGAACCACCTGATACTCCTGTTTATTCTATTAAATGGTGTGTTATACTGTATTTTTTAAATAAAGGAAATATCTATTAACTAGATGTCCGCGACTTCGTCCGTGTGGAATAGTGACCTTGGAGAAGTTGCGGGAGCCAATCACGCTGTTGGTAGTAGTGCCTCATTAGTTCACGATGTAAAGTACTCACTCAAGTATTCCAAATCAGGAAGTATTAACATTACGCATTCACGGCTACTTTTTACCATCGCACCGCTCGCCATCGACAGGGAATTCATCCCCACACGCTAGAACCTAAGTGGTCTCGGACAGTGCGGTTTCAGAGGAGCTTCCTCCCGCGTACACTTAGATTGTGGAATGAACTACCTGCCGAGATTTTCTCGAGAGACTACAGTATGGGGTTTTTCAAGAAGGGTATATTAAGGTTTCTTAAGGGTCGGTAACGCGCATGTGACACCACTGGTGTTTCAGGCGTCCATAGGCTACGGTAACCGTTTACCATCAGATGGGTCGTATGCTTGTTTGCCACCTATGTGGAATAAAAAACACATTTGGCGCTAATGGTACTTTGAATTAGCTTTTGGGACATCAAATGACTACGTATACATAAGGGAAACCTTACGCGCTCAATCAACCTGTCCGATTGATCCCCCGTCCAATTCAAACGCCGATCACAATTACGATGGCCTGAGCCGACGCTCAAACCCCTAGCTGTGCCCTCAGACTAAAGTCGTATTCGTCAGGTGGGAGCTGACCTTCAGCTGCTCCATAAGTCCTTCGGCGGGTTTGGAGTGCCATCTGCACTGGCTCCCTATTGTTCGGTGAAGCTGTAAAGGCCAGTTGCGGCGTCGAGCGATTTGTTTTTCGGTCTACTCTAATGCTGTTGAGTGCCTTTACAATAGGGGGCGAGTGCAGATGGCACTCCAAACCCGCGGAAGGACTTATGGAGCGGCTGAAGGCCAACTCCCGCCTGACGGATACGACTTAAGTTGTCTTAGGTAAGTCTTAGGGCACCGCTAGGGGTTCGAACCTTTGCTCAGGCCGAAAAACAAATCGCTCGACCAATAAAATAATAAATTATATTAATGGATTAGCTATCTAATCAATCCTTATCCTTACTAATCATTACTAATAGTATAAATGTCAAAGTAACTCAATCTGTCTGTTTCGCTTTAACGCAAAAACTCTGGACCGATTTAAATGAAATTTGGTATACAGATAGTCTGTTTAAAGGGAAGATGACAGTTTGTACGGTAGTATCGTCATTTGTAATGCTAATTTGAGCTTGAAACTTATTTTTTAAGCTGTTGATTATATATAAATAAATATGACATATAAAGTTTGTAAAAATTTTACCCTTAAGTGGGAAAAATAAAATAGGGAATGAAAGTTTGTATGGAAAATCGTCATATGAAGCTAGAACGATGACTCTTTTTTCTTTAGTTATTTTGAGTTAGATTGCAGACGATGTCACAAGCACGGCTAGTATAATATAAAGCTATGTCTACATCTTGGTTCATTATCATTATTTAATTGTAGAAGTTCATTGTTTGAAGAGTGTAGTATTGTTTTCAAGATATTAATTGGATTTTTTTTTCTGTTTCTGTATTAATAGATAGATATATATTATTTTATTTACATCTATAGATACATATGCAATATCTCGTATTAGGAATTAGTATAATTTTATAGAAAGCAGTATATTTTATAAAAAAAACTAACTGTCCCCGCAAATGTTTTGCCATGTAAATTAAAATCGCTATTAAAAAATAGGGGTTGGTGATAGAAGGGTGAAAATTTAGCGTTGTATGTATTTTTTACATATATAAAAAGTCGCTGTCGCTGTCTGTATGTATGCACTTAAATCTTTAAAACTACGCAACTGATTTCGATGCGTTTTTTTAAAATATAGTAATACAAGAGGAAGGTTTATATATATAATACATGTACAGCCGTGCGAAGCCGGGGCGAGTAGCTGGTAATATCATTAAGCTGAAGAGTTTGTTTGTTTGAACACGCTAATCTCAGGAACTACGGGTTCAAATTAAAAATTATTTTCGTGTTGGATAGTCCATTTGTCGAGGAAGGCTAAGCTATATAACATGCTACGATCAATAGGAGCGGTGCTGAAACGTAAAATATTGCAAAAGGTGGAAAAATAAAACGCAGACAAAGTTGTGCGGGTCAGGTAGTATAAAATATACGTAAATAAAACAGTACATTAAATTAGAGACCAAAATCATTACATAAAAAAAAATAGAAAAACAAATACAGCAAAAAAATTTACGGCCTTGTTGGTCTAGCGGTTTAGCACACGATTTTACTTCCGATGGAGTTCGATTCCTCGCACCGTGCAAATATTCATAAGTATGATTGTTTATATTGATCTGGGGGGTTTTGTATGTACAGTCTAGTACCCATAACACAAGCTCTGCTTACCGTGGGACTAGATGGCGCTGTATTCATTGTATAGGATTATTCATTTATTTATGTCTGTGAAAATTAATGCTATGAAGTTGGATGCTAATGATGTTGATATCTCGCTCCAGTGTGAATATAGCTTTACTATAACGTCATATCACTTTAAGTGAACGATACGATATCATAATAAATTTAGATAAACCACAAACTTGTACAGTCTATGTCGTTCTACGTAATTGTGTTGAATATACCAAATATATTGTAGTAAATAAATATGGACCGAAAGAAGAAAGAAATTACAGGAGACGGTAAGTTCGAATGTTATTATTATTATTTTTTTTTTATATCATAATTTGAGCGCGTTTGACCGCAATCTCACCTGATGTTAAGTGATGATGTGGTCTAAGCTGTTACACGCAAGCTCAAATAATGCCTATTCACTCTTGACTTGAAAGACCCAATGTTGTAAGAAGCAGGAAAAATAGACGCTGGTAGAGAGTTCCACTCCTTAGCTGCTCGCTTAAGGAATTATTATTAATTTCTGTATTGCAGAAGCTTTCTGTAAGGCGTTCGCAAATCATTACATAGTATAAAGTCGCTGTCGCTGCCTGTCCCTATGTATGCTTAAATCTTAAAAACTACACAACGGATTTTGAATCGGTTTTTTTTATTAGATAGTGTGATCCAAGAGGGAGGTTTATATATGTAATATATGTACACTCGTGCGAAGCCTGGGCGAGTAGCTAGTTAAATATTAAAAGGAAAATGATAATTATTGTATGAGTTAGAAATTCCTGACACTTATTGCCTGATGGCATTAAATAGCACACTTAATGCCATCAGGCAATAAGTGTGCCATTTATACAAATTTGTGGGCAAAAAAAAATGTTATTATGTATATCTTAGTACAATTGAAACTCTACCATGGTTGATTTATCACCTAACTCCTAAACTCCTAAATGCCTATTTTTATTTAAATAAAAATTTAATACGCATTTCTCTGCATTCCTGGATGGTTTGAATCGATAGATAATAATAATAATAATAATCATTTCATAATTTTATATTTATTTTAATTAATATTTTCACGTACTCTCATATGGGTTGAAGCTGAAAATCAGTGTTTTGTTCCCTGAACAATGTCCCACGCTGAGCTTCGACCTTTGTATGGCTACTATCACACATAATAACACAATTTTAGAAATCTTATATCGTATTATGTGTTGTCTATTGTTATGAACATGTTGTGTGTGATTAGTAACAAAGAAATAAATGATATATCTATCTATTTATCTATCTAATCAGAACAATTCACACAGCGCCATCTAGTTCCAAACTAAGCAGAGCTTGTATTATACCCATAACCTCAAAACAGATATATATTTACATACATTTTATAAATACATAGGTATATATAACACTCAGACAAATAATAATCATGAATATAATTTTTTACACCGTTCGAGGAATCGAACCCGCGACCATCGATAGTAAAAACTAGGTAATAAATAAATAACCCAGCGCTATCTAGTCCCACGGTAAGCAGAGCTTGTGTTATGAGTACTAGACCACTGATGTAAATACTTGATACATTTTTTTAAATACATACATAGAAAATACACAGACCGACACAAACAGTCATACTCATGAATACAAATGTTTGTGTCGTGTTAGGAATCGAACCCGCGACCATCGGAAGTAAAGCGGTGTGCTAAACCGCTAAACCACCGAGGCCGTCTACATAAACAGATAGTAGATAAATGTTAAATTTGCATCTATAGGATACGCAATTGGAAACTAAACGCAACGGACATCACGTCATCATGTGACGTCTGTGATAAACTGATAACACATGAATAACACTTAATATAATTTATGTTTCAATAACATTGTTATTATTTTAATTTTTTGTACACAAAATTTGTATACTTGGCGGACTTAATGCCTGATGGCATTTTCTACCAGTCAACTGTTGATGCCTGATGGCATTCTCTATCAGTCAACCGTCGCGCTGACCAGAGATAATAAGGCGGTGCAATATGGTCCATGTTTCAGTTACAAAAGCCATCATGTACAATAAACCAACCTATGTGATGCCACAAAAGGAAACATCTAAAACCTCAAAACCAGATTCAAGTGTTCAAATGTGTAATATGTAAGTATAATAATATATGTATTTCTTTTTTTTAATGGTACATTTAGGTAAAGAACTCACGGACTACTCTACTGCTGTTGGCCTCAGTCTTTACAGCTTCACCGGATGACCATCATCCGGTGAAGCTGTTTTTGTTATTACAGAATAGATTTTTTTTTTTTTTTCGGTCTACTCTTCGGTATGCTGTTGGCAGCAGCTGGCCTTTACAGCTTCACCGGACGATAGGGGGCGAATGCAGATGGCACTCCAAACCTGCAGAAGGACTTATGGAGCGGCTGAAGGCCAACTCCCGCCTGACGGATATGACTTTAGTCTGAGGGCACCGCTAGGGGTTCGAACCTCCGCTCAGGCCGTCGTAATTTCGATCCCCGTTTGAATTGGACGGGGAATCGATCGGAGGGGAGGTAAATTGCTGTGTGGTGTAATAATTATCATAGATCAATAGTTAGAAGAATATTAATTAATGTATTTTTTCATCATTACATATTATTAACCTTCTTTATGAGATGATGTTGAAACTTGAAGACGGCCTCGGTGGTCTACTGGTTTAGCACATCGCTATACTTCTGATGGTCGCGGGTTCGATCCCTCTCACATTATATGAAGATGACGCATGTGATGAAAGAAATTTTCTTACAATATTATTATTAAAGTTTTAACAGATAATAATGATATATATATATTTTTTTTTTCTTTTATAATTTTTTTTCAATAGCTGGTCACTCTATTCTCTCAAATTTGAATTAAAATGAAATTGTATTATTGTAAATATGTACAACATTTAAAAAAATATAAGAGCTGAGTTTCTTGTCAGTTCTTCTCATTTCGAAATCATTCCGAACTGACAGTAGATTTGACATATCATAAGAGTCTGTAATAGACCTACATGAATAAAGATATTTTGAATTTTGAATTTTATAATCATGCAATTAGTCTTCCAGTGAAAGATGATTCTCCATTGAGAATCCAGCCTCAGATACTCCAGCTTATGCCAGGTTGTTAAAGTCTGGTATTTTACGTCTCATAAGACGTGCCATATAATCAGGCAATGTTAGTTGAACAGCAAGTTTATTCGGATGTCTGTCCAGTTTGATTTTATATTTTTTTATTGTCTGTGATTTCCGCCTTGACAGATTTGATCCCCAGGTGCTGATGAACCATCGAGTTACTAATAAATAAGTTGTTTTCTGTAACGCAGGCGGCGTTACAGAAACAACGAACAGGTAAAAATTATATATAAAAATATAATATTAATAGTGTCCCTTTTTTATGATTTCAGTGTACAAATAGGCGGCAACTCCAAAAGTATGGATGAAAATCTTCGCAACTTCAAATCCAGTATCACAAAAAATGCAAAGAAATCTACCTGACAATACAGACAACAAATATATATAAATATATGTGTATATTATGTGATACTGCACCTACTTTTGTATTTAAATATCATTAGTATAAAAAAATGAATTTATTAATAAGAATTTGAAACGTTCAAGAAAAGAGCTTATTCCTTTTAAAAGGCCGCACTTGCAATTCTCCTGGTGTTGCTTGCTCCTATGAGCACCCATAGGCGGCGGTAATTATTTACCATCAGGTGAGCCGCAAGCTCGTTAATATTTTGAATTCGGAATGCGTAGCGTTAATTTTTTTTACAATTATTAATATAGCGATATGTAAGTAACATCTTGACGTTTTTATTTAATTACACAATTTAAAAGTGTTATATATTCTTTATTGCGTAGATAATATAGAAATAATAATAATAATAAAACTCTATATTGTGTACACAGATTAAACAATAAGAAAATAAAGTAATTACAAAAGGCGGTCTTATCGCTAAAAGCAATCTTACAGACAAACTAGAAGAGAGGACTTATGTATATAGAATAGGTAGGTGACACACATAATACTATTTACTATACTAATAAATATACATACATACATATATACTACAAACTGGAAGAAATGGGAAAAAAACAAATAAATAGAAATAGAAATAATCTTTATTCAAATAAACTCATTACAAGCACTTTTGAATAGTCATATTTTGATTCTACCACTCATTCGGAATGCAGATTCATCACAAGAAGAATGAGCAAGAAACTTGTGTGTTGCTCTTTTTTATATAAATAATTACAGTATAACAAGTAAGAGGCATGCGATAATCAATATAGAAGTCGCTACGCACTCATTATTAATGTAATCAGATAATATTGTCAGTGCTATAGATTTAAAGTTTTTCTATAAAAACATACAGTAAAAACGTGTAGTATGAAGAGAGATAATGAGATCTTAGTGTATTTTTAAATGATGCTTGTGTTTGAGCTAATCGAATGTAGAGTGGTAGAAATCAAATAATTTAATGACAATGTGGGCAAAAGACTTGTGCCTAGAAGAGTGGAGACTTATGCCTGTTTTGCGTTACTGGAGATCTTCCAGTCAACACTAAACTAGGTGATATTTAGTGAGTAACTAAGTGCAACATAATAATAATAATAATAATAATCTCAGGACAATTCACACAGCGCCATCTAGACCCAAGTTAAGCTAGCTAAAGCTTGTGTTATGGGTACTAGATAACTGATACATATACATAGATTTTTTTTTGTAAATACATACATATTATACATATAAAACACCCAGACCGATACAAACAATCATACTCATAAATACAAATGTTTGTGCCGTGCGAGGAATCGAACCCGCGACCATCGGTCGTAAAGCGGTGTGCTAGACCGCTAGACCACCGAGGTCGTCATATGGTCGTCATACATAATGGTGTAAAACTTATATACTTGCATAGTTTTTTTATTGTGGAGATAAATATTACCACACAATCATGCTTATAAGGTTTGTACTGTGCGAGGAATCGAACCGTCGTACCATCCGCGACCATCAGAAGTAGAGTAAAAAGTACAGTGTGGTAAACCACTAGACCATAGCGACTGTTAAAATGTATGAAAAAATATTGAGATCTTCAATTTGCTTTAATACTGTAATGTATATATGAAGTGCTATATATACGGGGGCGTGCGGGGGGACGGGGATTGTTAGTGATGTCAGGTTGACCTCCATGCGGTTCCCCCTGGAAACCATCGTGATAAGTTCCAGATGAATTTATCACGATGGGCTAACTCACCTGACCTCATACTCATCTTATCATCCTTCACTGGTGCCCCGCCAGCCTAAATTGTTAGCGCAGGCGGGTGTACCATTCCATCACCAATAATATATATATATATATATATATATATATATATATAAGGGGGAGAGAGGGAGGGGGGGGGGGGATTGGTAATAATGTGATTTAATAATCCTATTGGTCGTCAAGTACTATGTCATGTTGACCTGAATTCCCCTGGAAAATCATTATTGTTAATTCTTGGAGAATTTACTATTATGGGCTAATAGACCTGATCTCATACTCATCATATTATCTTCGAGTGGTGCCCCGTATACCATTAGCGCAGGCGGGTGGACCTTAACGATGTCATCCACAATGAATGTTATAATACGAGGAAGAAAATGCAAGTCCTTTTTGGTTGCTTTCACCTTTTCCCGGAAACATCAAGGAATTCCAGGGGACACCGTATAGTAGACCTGACGGAGTCCGTGGTACAAGAAATGGGGTCACTAGTCCCCTTTGCTAAAACCCGCTCCCCTCCAACTATAGAGTTAGTTATCATATGTTAAGAAAAAAGATGTCAATGACCTCAATAATGTTCGTTTTACTAGAATGAAGTTGTAAATTTTGCATTAAACTTAATATTCATTCTTATTTCAATGGCAATAAAGTTGATAATGGATGGGTCACAGGTTAGGTATGAGTGTGTCATAGCCAGAAGCGATGTTATTGCCTCTACCAAAATGGACACACTTCATTCAGTGTTCGACTGTCCTTGCATTAGCTTACACTTCGTTGTGATTCTATTTTTGAAATTTCACAGTGTTATTGTTTTTATTGAATAATAAATACTGCCAGTGTTGAGAAAGTTTTTATTTATTTTGTGTTTGGTTGCCAGTCACCGATTTTGTTTGTAAGTTTTCAGTTTTGTTTTATTTTTTAATTTCGCATGGCTGTCTGCAAATTTTGCGTTGCTATGCATTTAAAGTTGCTAGTTTATAAGTGAAGTTACGTCCTTGACAACACGTGCGACGTCGTGACTAACACACAGTTATTTTTGCACACGAACTAACAGTAAACAGTATTTTATTTATTGTTACATTTAAGTTAAGAATCCTTGATTTATTTATGTTATTTTACAACCATTTATTTTATTTATTTATCAGTCTTTTTAGGTCAAATATTCGGATATAAATTAGAAATAGTTCTTAAATTTATTCACACAATATGCATAATAGCAATAATGAAATTGTAATGTTTACGAAATGGACGTAGCGACAAAATGGCGGATGGCGAATATTTTGTTGAACCTGTTAATATAAGTGGCTATCAAATTAAAAATCCTTGAGAGTAGACAAGGATAAAGTGATATCCAACTGGTTTCAAAATGGCTGCCGAAAACTAAAAATAAAACAAATTAGTGGTTTCTATCAGAGCAACAAAATAAATAGTATGTAGTTAAAATTTTGGTCCACCAGTTTTTTTGTACACTCATCACGCAAAAACAATGTAAGGAATTGAATTTACATTTCACCTATGTATTATAATGATGTAAAATGTTCATATTAATATCTGAAAATAAACTTTGTACCCCTTTTTACGAAAATTGCGTGGTCGCAGGAGTATAAAACTCGCACTTATAGTTTATATAGAGAGAGAGAGAGAGAGAGAGTGCAGAATGCAAATTTTTTTTTTTTATAAATGCATAAAATACAATAAATCAGTAAAAAAAAACAATTCACATACTAACATGTATTGGACATACACGTATATGTTAAACTGAGTATTAATATAATTTATTTGTGGTCGAATTTCGACCACCAGTTATTATAAAGGAAAATGTTTTAAACAAAGGATTGGTAATAATAAAAAAGTATGCCATCACAACTCGTTTCCTAGTTGGGGCAGACAGACAGATATTGTCAACTGTCATTATCGTGATAAACGACTGGGCCATGTCTCAGTTAATATGTTATATACTACCTGTGCCCGCGGTTTTACCCGCGTGAAATTTATAGCCTATATGTTATTCTGATGTGTAAGCTATATTACTGCAAAGTTACATCAAAATCCGTACAGTAGTTTTTGCATGAAAGAGTAAAAACCTTTCGCGTTTATAATATTTATTAATAAGATCACTTATCAATAATATTTACCTATTTAGTAACTAGCTGTGCCGGCGACTTCGTCGGCGTGGGATAGTGACTTTGACCAAATACCTACCTATAGAAAAATATTTAATAATCTGACCCGAAAACAAAAGTTTCAACGTTCTAGCTTCAAAAATGGCACACATGTTTATTAAATAAAAAAATAAAAAGATTTGAATTTAAATTAAAAATAAAATCCTATTTTGTAAAACATCCTTTTTGTAATATTGCTAAATACCTAAACCAAAACAATGAAAATATAACTGATTAGTTTACAAATTATTGTTTCATTGTTACACTAATGTGTATTTACATATTTATTTCATTAATGTAATTATATTCGTTATAATGACTCTGTAATCGAGTTGTAATTTGCAAATTATAATTACAGTGCGGTGAAGGGGGAAGAGTTTTTTTTTTGTGTATGACAATGGAATGGTGCACCCGCCTGTGCTAACGGTCTACGCTGGCGGGGCACCAGTGGAGGATGAGATGAGTATGAGGTCAGGTCAGTTAGCACATCGTGACAAATTCACCAAGAATTCTTCACGATGGTTTCCAGGGAGAACCGCGTTGAGGTCAACCTGACATGGTACATTGCTAGCAATATGATCATCATCAAAATGTGGATTAATGGTTATTAATCCATTGATACCAATGTACCATTTCAGGTGGACATCAACGCGGTTCCATCTGGAAACCATCATGATAAATTCCTACTGAATTTGTCACGATGGGCTAACTGATCTGACCTCATGCTCATCTTATCATCCTCCACTGGTGCCTCACCAGTGTATACCGTCAGCACATTCGAGTTCACTATTAACTATATACTGATACTGTTGAATTTACTGCATATATACTGATATGCCGATTATGTAAAGAGGTATTTTAAAGTTTAGTTTATAAATGAGGTGTAAAAAACCTTGGACTGTTCACACAGCGCTATCTAGTCCCAAACTAAACAGAACTTGTGTTATTGATTCTAAATAACTGATATAAATATAGGTATATAAAAAACACCCAGAAATAGAAATAATCTTTTTTCAAATAAATTTAATATAAGCACTTTTGAATAGTCAAGTTTTTTGATTCTACCGCTTATTCGAAATGCAGATTCATCAGAAGAAGAATAAGCATTAAGCAAGAAACTTGTGTGTTGCTCCAGACTGGTACAAGCAATCTTACTCAAGATTGTAAATGTTTGCACCTAGTGAGGAATCGAATCCGCGACTATCAGAAGTAAAGTGGCCGTCATCCCGTTTGTTTAATGTGTAGTACACATACATACATACATAATATAAATAGACAACTGCCAACAAACCGCTATGCGTCATACATATGACTACAACAGTTTGTATTGTTCGGGAACCCGCAACTATCGAAGGTGA